GGGGGGGGGGGGGGGGGGGGGGGGGGGGGGGGGGGGCAGGAGGAGGACGAGGCAGAGCGAGGATGAGGGTGAGACGGAAACAGGGAGAGCAGCAAGTCTGTGAATGGGGAGACAGAAACACAACACCATAAACAGCCAGAGAGCAAGACAGAGTGAGACAGAGGAAGAGGGGAGGGGGACTTTGAAGGGGGCACACACTGGAGATGGGAAGCCAGCCTTATTCCTCTTTGCATTTCATTTACATCCCTGGCCGTATCGACCAATCGGATTGGGAGCAAAGCCCAGGGCTTAGGAGGGGAATAAAAAGACAAAATGCCTTTGCTGCTCTCATCCCTCCCTGATAATACCCCTTCTGTTTTTCTTTTCTCCTTTTCTCTCGTCTATAAGTAGATACTGTCCGAAATGCCAGCGGAAAAGCGACACCTCCGCTTGCTGTGTATCTCAGATAGACCGAGCGGGAGCAGGGGCTGAAAAGACAGCTTTAGCAACTGGGCCTATCTCCACTCCTCTCTCTGGCTGGATAGAAGCTTGAAGTGGAGGAAGGCGGAGGGGCTGGGATGTGTTGGTTAGTGTTTGGGAAGAGAATAGAGGGTGTGAGAGGCTTGATATACTGAGTTGGCCGCAGATTTAGCAGACTCTTACACCCAAAAACTTTGCCCGCAGATTCCTTTCCTGAGCATGAGAAACCTGTTTAAGAGCCGTTCACCAGGTGCCACCCATCTCTGCAAAAGTCCAAGATGCCTTCTGCTCTTCATATTTCCAGCGTTGGTTCGCCACTTTGTGTATGCCGTTGTGTCCCCGGCTGGATGAAATGTTTCCAGAAGCTCGTCGACGCGTGGTTCGGTAGAATTAGGCCCATTAACATCGGCCAGTGTTGACTCGACGTCATGACGGCCTTGTCCCGGTGTTTTGTTTGCTGTCACTCTTCAGCTGGCCGTTGTGTTTTTTTGTGGAACGCACTATTTGTGTCGGCTGCAGCCTGTTTGCAGGTTTGTTGAGTTTATTTGCTCAGGTGTTTGTGGCACTCTTCATTGTGCCACTGTTTGAACTTGGGTTACTTTTCCCCTCTCAAGTGTTTTCTTTTGTTTAAGTGCACCAAGACTATTGTTCTCCCCTGCTCTGTCCTCACTGCTGATGGTAGGCCTGTTTGAAGGGACTGTAGAGATGGGGGAGGTTCATCTCAGCTCTATTTTGTGTCAAAGCTTCAAGATATAGAGAGGGTCTGTTACCTGCCTGAGCTAGATTTCTGCGAGTGATAAGGTCACCCCAGGAGACTGCGTAGAGTCCCTCCCACCTACACGGCACTCTCATCCTGAGCACACACAACCTCGCCCCTATATATAATAAATCAAACCAAACAACGGAGGCAGATATGGCTTGGATTGGAGGAGGTCAGAGGCTTAGGGAATGCTACATCTCTGTTTCCAGGATCAATCTTCAACTGCCTGGTAATCTCTGGCCCCAAGCCTCACATACCTCCAGTGGTCTCTCTGGCTGGGAGATGGCATTGCCAGGCTGTGTGAGCTGGTCCTCATGCTGGGTGTGGGAAGCTGATATGATAGTGGGGATGAAAGCGGGGGGGGGGGGGGGGGGGCTGTTATAACCTGATGGTGTGGATGGATGGAGGAGCAGGGGGAGGACCGACAATCGCCCCTCTCTGTGTAGCCAAACCTCACCTTAATCCCAACTCACAGGTGTGTGTGCGGATGCATCTGTATGTGCGCCATTTCGCTTTTGGGATCTCCCACATGTATGTGCATTTTGCGTGTGCACGTGCCCACAAAGTTAGTTTTAATCTGCAAATTTGTAATTGCAAAATAACTTTTAAGTTATTCAGAGCAAACGTAATATTATCCCAAAGTGCCTGTTGTTATCTTGTGTACACACATTTGTTTATTTGATACAGGCCTCTCCACTACGGCACTTGTGTATATCAAAGACAGCAGTGCAGAGCGTAATTGAAAATGGCTACCGTGGAGAAAGGTCTCTCTCTGCTTTGACTGGGAAGAGGGAAGAACCGCCTCATTCTCTGCTCCCTTCTTAGATCTATTTAAATAATTGAGGAGTAAACTGACAAATTAGGCACCTTTATAGACACCCCTGGGCTCTCTCTGGGGTCCTTCACTTTACCAGTACAAGAGAGCACCAATAGGCACCGGATAATATCTTGTGTGCTTTAAGAGGGGAGGAGGGGGTAGTGGGCCAGGAGGGGTTTCGCCAATCAAGCAGGCCACACTTCCTCCCTCAGGTTCTAATTTTGTGCCACATTAAAGAGCTCGGCCTCCATTTAGGACACAGAGAGGCATTTTCATAATTTGCCGGGTCTCTTGACTAGCTCGAGGTGGCTTTTTTCCCTCCTTCTCTCGCTCTGTATCTGAATGGAAGGCCTGGGGAAGAAGAGGGAAAATTCATTCGTCTCTTTTCAGCCAACCAGCTTCAGTTCTGCATAATGTTGCTGCTAGGTGTGTATAGCAGCTAATATTTATCTCTTTAATAACTCCCCATTAGACCTGAATATTATATGCCGTATAAAGCCAACGCTGCCTATTGTTAGGTCTATATAGAAATAATGGGATTCATGCGTTGTTGATACATCAGGGTTAATTCCTATGACTGTATTTAGCTTATGGGGATGAGTTAATGACTATGTTGGATATATTCTGCGAGCAGAGAGCTGAGATGCTCGACACAAGTCTTTGCTATACCATCCATATGACGCGTAATCCAGGTTAAAGTTGTAGCCGACACCAGCCATTCATGCGCCGTGTGCGTGAGCATTGATTCATATGTGATTGGTCACATAATTCACAGTCTCAGGGGGCATTTCATTGCTGACAGACAAGCTAATCTAAAATCCCCCAATTTACAAATGAAAATCCCACCATCCAATTGAGCTAATAGAGGGACTTGAATGGGATAATAAGATGTGGTGTAATACTGTGTAAAAAGCCTGTAATGTTGTGTTGGTGTAAGAGCCTGTGTGACTGGATGTTTGACTGTTTGCAGTGATTACAGGGGCCTGCGGGTCTGGCGATGGCGCCGCGGCTGGTGCAGGGAGCTTCTCCCCGGGCAAGGAGATACGCCTGTCTGCCCCCTTTCTGCCGAGGCTTGGAGGGACCGGGGTGTCAGGAGGGAGAGCGCTCCCTGCGAGCTGGCTGCCGCTCCGGCGTTCCCGGTCTTGCAGGGTCTTCTGCTGTTGCAGCGCTCGCAGTTGTGCACAAACAAGGGAGGATTAAAGCAAAACGAATCTAAACAGACAAATGGAATTAGAGTGATGGGTGTCGGTGGGCTGGTTCGCGGTGATAAACATAATGATGCTCCGTATATGTGTGTGTGAGTATGTGTGTGTGTTCCTGTGTCTAGGGGATTATCAGTGGTTAGGTGTGCGGTGTTTATGGCAGGGTGACTGCTTCTGGGTGTCTTTGTGTGTTTGCCTATCCGTCTATGTTTTTGTAATTATGTGTGTGCATATTTACTCTCTTTCTAGTTGTGTGTGTGTGTGATAAATGAGTTATTCCATATGGCCTGACAAAAACAACGCTGCGCCCTTTGAATGCGCGTGGACAAGTCGTGCGATTCCTTTTTTTTGTGAGGGTCAAAATTCTTCCCCGTCCGTCATTTTGTTTGTATTTGTCCTGAGCTTCTGTTGTTTTGACCTGTATGAGCTTAGCAAACATCAAAACTCCTCAGCCAGTATTTACTCAGAGCACGAGTTGGGAAATCTCATCTTGAAGAGTGCTCTGCAGCCCGCGTGCAGATGTGTTGTTTCCTCGTGCCAGGGGTCTGCGTGTTTATGTGCGTATGTGTGAGGAGGTCAGGAGTGTGTAGAAACCAGCGGGGAGGCCAGTGATCAACTGTCTGAAGCCTCCCTGCAGAGGGGCTCTGGGATTAGGGCTAAACCCTGCCCTGCCAGATGGGCACAACACATCCCCAGCATCACACACCAGCACCTTTAGGACTTTCGCTCTGCAGCCTTCCTCCGCGGACATTCGGTGACTCCAAACCAGAGTTTGTTCAAAGCACTTGTGATCACAGCAGATTATGCGTTCTGAAGGCAAGCGAATGTTTTCCGCTGGAAAAACCCCGTCTGATTTCAGGCACATCCGTTCTTCTCGCATCCCCATCAGTTCCTGTTTAGATCCGATGTTTGTCTCATTAATGCTGGATTGGGCAGGATTAGTAAACCAAATGATGTTCATTCTGAGCAGCAGTGTTTTTAATACAACCCTCATCATCCTTTTCTCGGGGAGTGGAGGAGGAGAGAGGAGAGGAGAGGCGGCTGGGAAAACTTCAGTTGGTGGACAGTGTGGCCAGTCAGCAGGTTCAAGGGCATCAAAAAATGAAACTTACAGGCTGGTTTGATGTGCCGTATTTAGGAGCCACAGGCTACACTGAGATGATAAAGTGTGTGTGTGTGTGTGTACGGGGGCAGTATCTGCACGAGTGCAGATTGGTGGCAGCAGGTTGATTGCTTCCTGCTTGACTTTTATCACT